CCCCCCCCCCAATCTGCTTCCTCTTCCTCCTCCTGCCCTGCCAGATAATTCATTCCTGGTAGACGATGAACAGTTAGGAAGTTCCTCTGTAGGTCTACCTGAAGTACCTTCTGCTTCTGGAAATCCATACTATTCTTTGCTGCACCTTCTACCAGTTTCTCCCCTTGCCACCTGCCTATTGTATCTTTTCTCTCCTCTGGTGAGGTCTTCAAAAAGGGAGGGGGTGCACTCACTGATTAAGGGCCTGCTGTGTGCCAGACCCTGTGCCAAGAGCGTGTGTGCCCCGTGCCATTTAGTTGTGACAACACCCATACTCGGGGAGTGCAGAACTGTAACTTCTGTTTGTCAGATGAAGACATGACAGCTTAGGGATGTCAAGACACGTGCCCAATGTGACACAGTTAGCAAGGGCAATGGCAGGCATGACTGACTCTGAAGCCCCATGCTCTTAAGCACTGTATCTTGCAGTCAGTTCCCCATGGGCTGGTAACGATCTGAGCCCACATCACCACCACCCCTCCTCTGCCCATGCTTGACGTTACCGGTGCATCCTGGCACTCCTTAACACAGTGCTCCAGCCACCACTGTCTGATGGGAAAGTGCCCTTGAACCGAAACTCACATGCTATCCCAGTCCCAAAATACTAACTGTTCCTAGCAGATGCCCCGTAACCACTGGTACCACAATTCCTGGGGGCTGGGGTGGGGGCAGGTAGGGTGGGAACATTCCTGCTGTCCCCTAAACCACCCCCCACCCCCGCAGGCCACTCTTGGGTGGGCTGGGATCAGGTAGCCTGCAGTGTAGTCCCAATTCCACAACTAACATCGAATAAATCATAGGACCTTGGGGGGGGGGCCTCAGTTTCTCCATCTGTAAAATGAGGAGGTAGAATGAGATGTCGCCAACCCAGAACGCAGCTCCTCGCTTGTATCTGGCTTATGCCCAGAAGTTGGGACCCAGGGAAGGTCGCCTGGCTCAGAGCACTCACTCTGACTGGCTGTGTAGACGCTGTCAGCGGCCATGCGGTCTTCCTTCACAGTCTGGGAGCTGGAGGAGAACTCAGGGAGGCAGGGCACAAGGGAGCCCAGCACCAGAACGAAGCACAAGGCTGCCACCTGGTAGTGGAGAGAGTGGTGGTCAGAGCAGGTTGGGGGGGGCGGTGCAACCCTGGCCATCCCCAATCCTTCTCCCCCCAAACCAGTAGGTATAAAAAGCTCGGTATTTTTCCAAGAAAGCAGCGCCCAGAGCCAGCCACCCCCTAGATGTGCAGTCTTCCACCCTTTTTGGAGAAGGTGAAGGAGGCTGCTCAGGCCATGTCAGCCCTTGGTAGGAGGCCACCACAGGCAGTGTTAGAAAAAGAGGGAAGTGGTCAACACGGTTATCACCTATAAGGTGGGGGAATCAGGATAGTGAGAAAGGAGTACTTGGGTGTGGGGGGGGTGGGGGACAAGCGAGGGGACAGAGCATCACACCAGATTCTCAGCAGGAGGAGTTAAGAGTCACACAGCCCGAACTAAGCCCACCCCACATCGTGCCTGCCACCTGAGAGCATGAGGATCTCAGAGGGCCTGGGGAGCGATTAGCCAAGAGGCAGCAGGCTGGGCGCCTGGGTGGCTCAGTCGTTAAGCGTCTGCCTTCGGCTCAGGTCATGATCCCAGGGTCCTGGGATCGAGCCCCACATCAGGCTCCCTGCTCCGCGGGGGGGAGCCTGCTTCTCCCTCTCCCACTCCCCCTGCTTGTGTTCCCTCTCTCGCTGTGTCTCTCTCTGTCAAATAAATAAATAAAATCTTAAAAAAAAAAAAAAGAGGCAGCAGGCTGCACATTTCCAGGACAGCGTGGAAGACGGATTTGCAGATGTCTGAACCACACCCTGCACATTTTTTTTTTTGAAGATTTTATTTATTTATCAGAGAGAGACACAGTGAGAGAGGGAACACAAGCAGGGGGAGTGGGAGAGGGAGAAGCAGGCTTCCCGCTGAGCAGGGAGCCAATGCGGGGCTCGATCCCGGGATCCTGGGATCATGACCCGAGCCAAGGGCAGAGGCTTAACGACAGAGCCACCCAGGCACCCCCACCCTGCACATTCTTTTGGGCTTCTAGAGATTTGCTCAGCCTTCTCCTCGCTATTCATTCCAGAAAGAAAGAAACAAGTGCCTCCCAACCTTGTGTCTCCCTAAGCCCTTTGCCCCCCAGGGTATAGAAACTGCCTCCTCAAGGGACTTGCCCTGCTATCCCCTAGCTGGGTTCACGTGAGTCACTACACATCCACATTGTGTTAGAACTGGTCAGGGAAGGTCATGTTCTGGAAGGCTCCATGGGCTTGGTGAAAGAGGCTGGGGTCTTCAGGAGCCAGCTCACCAGGCACTAGGATGGTGTACCCTGGTGATGTTGCCAATCATCAAAGCTCTGCCGGCCTTCCTAGAAGGCCAGCCGGGGGAAGACTCGTCCTCATGTGGCCCTGTGGTGAGGGAATAGCACCTACCATGAGGCAGGTCCCCGTCTGGGTGGCAGCCATCTTGTAAGGTCTTGAGATCTTGTTGGTGACCAGAGTCTGGAGTTTCTGCAGCTGCTGGAGCAGGGTCCTGAGGAGGGCACAGTGGTCACTTGGCAGGCTCTGCCCCAGCAGGCATCTCTGCCTCCTGGAGCTCTCCCAGGGAGCACCTGGGCTGGCTCCACGCTTGGCTTCCACACCAGGTGCCCGTTTCAGTCAAGACAGAAAAGGTCACCTCCCGCTTGGCTCCTCTGTGGCGTGGCTTGGGGAACCTGGGGCCTGTCTCGTGATGAATAGCTGGGTCACCCTATGGGAGCTCAGGGGTGCCCTGTGATGCTCCTGGCCAAAGTGGGGTGGGGAGGAAGGTCTGCCCCACCTGGGCTGAGGTCACCTTTTTCTTCACCTACGCCAGCCACAGCTACAGTGACCTTCCTTCCTTTGTACCCCACGATTCCCGGAGCTGATAAGAAGGCCATGTCCGGCGGCTGTCTGGTGTGTAGTGAGGGTCCAGTAAATATAGCTACCACCTTGGTTAATTTTGTCACTGTTGCTTGTACCAAGGCACCTGTAACATCTCGTTTCTGTTCATGGATTTCCATGTCAGTCTCCTTCACTAACCGTGGGCTCCCTGAGGGCGAGGACCGGGTCCCACCCAACGACGTGCAGTCCTCCGGGCACACACAGGGTCTCCTCAGCCCACGCTTGGCCAACCACAGTTTAACTGTCTCTTTCCTCCACCTAGCCGGGCACTGGGGTTGCAGTTACCAGAATGCACAGCAGGTGGCGAAAGAGCTCCAAGGGCCTGGCCCTATTTTGGGCCAGAGAGGAATCTGGGCCAGAGGTACAGGGGTGAGGAGTGCGGCCCCGCCCCCCTTCCCTGAGTGGGCGGCATTCTCCAGGTCAATCTGGGGAGTGGCTGGATCCTGCTGGAGAAGCTGGGGGAGAAGGAAGGAAAGAAGGAAAAAGCCTTCTGTTGAGCACCTGCTACATACCAGCTGTTGTCTCTTGTCATTTTAATTTACCCCAGCAAATAATTATTAGAGACCTACTGTGGGCTCCTGGCTAGGCACTATCAAGAATTCAGAATAACCATAAAAAAAAAAAGAGGAGAAGAAAAGCTAACACGAATTGAGCATTCTTAAATGCCAAGCACAGTGCTGGGCCCTTTACCGGCGCCGTCTCATTGTATCTTCACAAGAATCCCGTGAGATAGAGCTTCTATCATCCCCATGTAGACAAAACAACTGGGGACCAGAGAGGTTTAACAGTTTTCCCAGAATCACAAAAATGGCAGAGTGGGATTAAGAAACCCAGGCTGTGACTTTAGGTAGCTGTGACCTGTGCTGGCCCCATACTGAGGTTTCGCAAAGGGAACTGTACATTCGAATCACTGAAGGATCGTGTTGAAATGCAGATTCTGATTCTGTAAGTCGGGGGAGAGTCCCGAGATCCTGCGGTTCTTACAAGCTCCCAGGTGGTGCTGATGCTATTTGCTGGTGAGAAGAGCTCTGAGTTGCAAGCACCCACCCACCCCAGCGGTTCTAACGTTAGGGTACGTCAAAATCACCTGGAGGGCTTATTAAAACACAGATTGCTGAGCCCTCCCCAGGGAGTTCCTGATTCAGCAGGCCTGGCTTGAGGTCTGAAAATCAGCATTTCCAAAACTTTCCAGGGGCGGCTGCTGCTGGTCTGGGGAATTCCGCTTTGAAAGCCACTGCCCTACACCAACTCACTCACGCGGCTCAGCTGCCCTGTCGGGTTTTTAGAGCTATGCGCGGATGAAGAAAGATGGGAAGCCAGGGGTCCCAGGCTGCAGGGTTCCTGTTTCTGGGGTTCCTGTCATCCTGAACTCAGTCACCTCTCCTGCCTCCTGCCTCCCAGAGCTATGCCAGAGCCGGGCCCTGGCTGCAGGAGGGCAGGGGGCCGGGGAGGATGCAGGTGGTACCACCCACCTGTTGGCATTCTCCAGGGTCTCTACCTTCTTCCACAGTTCGTTGTTCTCTGACGTAAATGTCTCCACCCTGAGGGGGCCAAGCAGACACAGGCTCAGGGCCAGGCCCCAGACTCACTGCTGCCCTCTCTGCCCTGTCCACCGCTCCCTGAGGCATCCCAGGCCCCGAGCCCCAAGCCCCCTGCTCCGGTGCCCTTTGAGAGAGCACTGGGGACAGCGGGGCAGGCGGGGGAGTGGGGCCCAGGCCCACCGCCCTGCCCAGGATACTTACTTCTTTTCTAGACATTCCACGTACTCCTTCTTCTTACGGCGGCTCTCCTGGGCCGAGATCTAGGGGGGAGGCCGCAGAAAAGGGGTTACCACAGCCACATAACCATTTCCGGGGGGCCCTCAATCTTAGGGCTGGTGTCACCAGGGGAGCCCTAGGACAGGGCCAGGGTCCAGCTCATGCTTTACCTTATTCTTGATTTTTCTCCGGACCCTCTTTAAGGCCTTTTCTTCGGCTTTGGTGAGGGGGAGTTTCGTGGGGATGGGGTAGCCCTCAGCAATCAGGGTGCGTTTCTCCTCCTCTGTCAGGAGCAGTGGCCCTGATGTCCCCTGTAATTTCTGTGGGAGGTAGGACATGATGGTTAGGAACCAGACAGCCATGGATTCAAATCCAAGCTCTGCCACTGACTTTGCGTGACTGAGGGAAGGCACTCCACTCTCCTAGCCTCGGTTTCCTAATTTGAAAAAGGGTGGATCTGAACGAAATCCACTAACATGTACCAACAGTGCTGGGAGCCCAGCATGTTAGGCATTCAGTATATTATTGCAGGGTCGGGGTAGGGGGGTCCCCTAGATCCCATTCTGGAATCCACAGCCTCAAAGCTGACTTGTCCAGAGCCCCTAAACAGCAACCCCCTCAGACCCCTACAGTCTTCACTTGGGAGGCTCCATGCAGGACTCAGCTCCATGTTTCCCAGGCGATTTGGGGCCTCCTGAGTCCTGTTCCCAAGCAGTGCTCCTTGGAGCCAGCCTGGGCCGTCCCCTGGAGGTCAGGAATGTCAAGTTCTAGTCCTGGTTCTGCAACAGTGGGGGTGTGACAGGCCTCTTGGACCTCTCTACCTGTTTCCTCTTTACCCCAGAACAGGATTAGGAGATTCGCACTCCCATCTGCTCTGAATGCTGATGGGGATGGGGATCAGGCTTGGGGCTCCCAGACCCTTCCTCGCTGGTCGTGTGCAGGGTGGACTAACTCAATCCCTTGCCTCTAGGCTCAGCCCACCCCCAGCTGCTTACGTGAGGGGCGGTGAGAAGGGGGGAGGTGGAGATGGCCGTGGAGGAGCGGGCCATGGGCCGGACAGGGCTGGAGGGGGGCAGAGAGCGGGGACTCTGGGAGCCGTCACTGTCGCTGCCGTGGCTGCTGGGGGGCGTCAGAGGCATCTGCACCAGGTCCTCTGGGGAGAGCGGGGGGAGGGGAATCCAGGTTAGCAGGGTTGCATCCCATCTCTGCTTGGACATCAGAGGTCAGCCAGCCCTGACACTGTGGGGGACGGAATACTGGGGCCTTGACCAGCTGTCCCATCAGCTGTCCCATCCCCTCTGCCATGTCAGAAAGATGAGCTGACATCCAGAAGTTCATTTCTGAATGCCATCCCATCCCCAGTGCCACAGAGGCCTGGCTCCTCGGTGTGGCTGTCATGGAGGCCGGATTCTCGAAGTCCCTCCCCCATCCCTGATTTCACAGGGTCCAGGCCCTTGGAGCCTCCACTGGTAACCCCAGAGGTGACTGGAGTTTGCCCATAGCCAGTCCCACGGGATCGGGCTGGGCAAGCAACAGGCTCTGTCACTTCCTTTTTCCCACTGCCAAACATCTAGCCCAAGCAATCCCAGGGTTTCCACTTCCAACTTGAGCGTGACAGGACAGCAGGCTTTCAGCAGACCAGCCAGGAGCCCTGCGGTCCCCAGCCTCCCCCTCCCTGCTGCTGCTCTGTGGCTGCAGCATCAGGAAGACTGGCACACTGCGGTGGTCAGGGAAGATCCTGGGCAGAGCCACGAGGACCGAGAGCCCAGTTGCAGGGAGAGCTCCCAGGACAGCACAGAATGCCCGGATCATTGCAGAGCGGGCTGAGGCTCCAGAGGAACAGCTGCATCCTTCCAGACTCGGCCCCTAACTGCCCTCTGCACGAGTCCTCTCTCCCTCCCTGCACTTTGATTTGCCTCTTAAGGGTGCCATAATGTGAAGAGCCCGGAACGTGGAGTCAGGGAGCCTGAGTTCAAGTTCTGCTGTCACCCGCCCCACGTGTGTGACCTATAGTCATATTTATTAACCCCTCCCGGCCTCACTTCCCTGTTGAAAGGGAGTGAACTGACTGCAGGGAGCCTTGAGGACGCAATGAGCTCATGTATATGAAGATGCTTTACGGATTGAAGGGCACTCTACAAGATGATGTGTTTTCACAATGGCCCCTTTCTACCTTCTGTGAATCTTCTCTCCGAGGGAGTGAACAGCGTGAGGGCGAAGCTTGGGTCTTACTCATCTTTCTAAACCTTGTGCTACTCAGCCCAGGGCCTGATACATAGTATATGCTTAATGAATGTTTGATGAATTAATGAGGTAGGGTTGGAAAGATTCAGTTAGCCTATTCTCCTTCTGGCCAATCCAAGAAGCTTCCTCTGTGTTCCCTTCCCCCCTGTCAGGTCTGGGGATGTGCCTCCAAGGCCTCCTAGGTAATCTGCCATCTTTAACCCATATAGCTGCTAGGAAACGGGCCCTCACTACTCCGTGATCTACTTGGGCACAGGACTGTCTTCTCCCTCTGCTTTCCCAGACATGTCCAATGAACTCTCATTGGATGGATGGATGGATGGATGGATGGATGGGTGGGTGGATGGATGGATGGATGGATGGATGGGCGGCTATAGAGTGGGCTTCCATTAGTGAATGACAGGAGGGGGATGAGCAAACAGGGTGAGCGTGTCAATAACAGAGATGACAGTTGTAGACTGGGTTAAAAGGGAGCTGGATGGATGGAAAGTGTGCAGAACAGGGAGGAAAGGATATTCTGGGGAGAGATGGGGGCTGTTGAGGGAGATGGGTGGGCTGGGCCAAGGGGGTAGGGAATGCTGTCTGCCCAAGACTGGAGAGGAATAGTCCCTCTGGACACACTTACCTGGTGTCACTTTGAGGAACTGATTCACCTCCTGGGGCTCTGCTTTGATCACTGGCAGCTGAGTCATCTCTCCTGGGGCCTGAGGAAGAGACAGGCCCAGCTCCATCAGCTGCCCTTGAGGCTGTCCCCACCATTCAACCTCCTACCCACCCTGAGGCTGGCGGTCTGCTCTGCACAATTAAGGAGGTGGCTGGACTCAGGGTTCTGGGTACAGCCCAGAGGGAGAAAAGACAAGTTCTCAGGCTCGGAGAAGCCAAGTAAGACCTAGGAGAAGAGAATGGTGGCTAAGTAGTTAGTGTAGTTTAGACCTTAAGCTTGGAGAAGGAGGGCTTCTTGTGGCTTCCAAGGCCAAGGCCATCTTTCTGATGGAGGCTGCTCTGTGCTGACTGTGAAGGCTGCATAGGCCTTGGTATGTGGGTTGCCAGGAGGAGAGAAGTAATGTCTGGTGCATTGTAGCTGTTCAGTGGATGGTAACAGTAGCACCAGTGAAGAAGGCCTTAACTGGCTGGGCGATCAGGGTGAGCTCTCTAAGCAGCTGAACTTGGAAAGGAGTCCTGAAGTATAAATAGGAATGGTCCAGATAAAGGACAGGGCAGGTGGTAAGTGAAAGGAAAAGAATTCCAAGCAGAGGGAAAAGCATCTGCGAAGGCACAGAGGCTAGAGCGCATGGCCAGATCTGGAAGCTGCAAGTATTCAGGGTGTCCAGAGTATAGGGGTGTATGTCAGGGGGGAATGGTAGGAAACAAGACCAGAAGGCCTGGCTAGAGGGTGGGGCGGGGGTGGTGGTAGGATTCACAGAGGGTAGAAAGGGACCAGACAAGGAAGTTTGAAACAATAAGGAGTCCCTGATGGGTTGTATCACAAGGGACGGACAGAACTAGATTTATGTTTTAAACAAACAATGCATCCCCATTTCTTTATATTCCCACTTGCTGTTCCAGAAAGGACATAAAGAACATGTATGGCCTACTAGGGATTTACCCCAAAGATACAAGTGTAGTGATCCGAAGGGGTACGTGCACCCCAATGTTTATAGCACCAATGTCCACCATAGCCAAACTATGGAAAGAGCCCAGATGTCCATCAACAGATGAATGGATAAAGAAGATGTGGTATATAGCTACAGTGGAATATTACTCAGCCACCAAAAAAGGAAATCTTGCCATTTACAATGACGCGGATGGAGCTAGAGGGTATTATGCTAAGCAAAATAAGTCAATCAGAGAAAGACGATTATCATACGATTTCACTCATATGCAGAATTTAAGAAACAAAACAGAGGAGCATAGGGGAAGGGAGGGAAAAATAAAACAAGAGGAAATCAGAGAGCGAGACAAACCATAAGAGACTCTTAACCATAGGAAACAAACTGCAGGTTACTGGAGGGGGGGATGGGGGATGGGGTCACTGGGTGACGGGCATTAAGGAGGGCACGTGATGTAATTAGCACTGGGTGTTATATGCAACTGATGAATCACTGAACTCTACCTCTGAAACTAATACTACATTATATGTTAATTAATTGAATAATAATAAAAAAAGAACATGCATGGCTTCCTGCACATGATTATCAGCACGCATCTAGGTGGTGTTCTCTTTGCGGAAGGCACTGTGTTGTTGGGTGCTGGATTTCAGGACCAAGTCTCCCCTCTGGGTCCACAGCCAGCAGAGAGAGGCCATGATATTGTGGTTGGAACACAGAATCTCCAATGTAGGCAGATGAGTAAGAATCACAGAAGGTTCAAGTTGGCAGGGACCTTGGAGATTCTCTGGTCTACATCCCAGCTCAGCCCTCAAAGTGACAGGGAGGGCACTGTGACGCAGAAGGGTGGGTCACCCAGCCCATTACTGACAATGCCAACTTCTGGTTCCTGTGCCTTCCACAAGAGCATCGTGATCTCCCTAGAGTGGGAAGCGTGGGCTTCCAGGTCTTGTAGGCCAAGTTTGGAATGCAGTTCATTATTTCTGCGTGTGGGATTTTTTGTTTTGTTTTAGAGAGGGGGAGAGAGGCGGGGGAGGGGCAGAGAGAGGGAGAGAGAGAATCTTAAGCAGGCTTGATCTCACATCCCCGAGATCATGACCTGAGCCGAAACCGACAGTTGGATGCTAAACCAACTGAGCCACCCAAGCGCCCTGCAGCTCATTATTTCTGACGGTGTGATTCTGGGCAAGTCGCTTAGCTCCTTGAGCCTCATTTTCCCTCTCTGAGGCATGTGCCCAACCTCCCAGGACTCTGGCGGCTGCTGCTGCTACTGCTGCACCTTCCCTTCCTGCTTCGGCAAGGCCCAAGGAGTCGCTGAGCCAGTCTTGGAGATGGTCACAAAAGATCTTCCACCTTTACAGGTGACCCTTGGTCCCCTAGGTCAGTGCAGGGGTGGGGAAGGGCTGATGTTGGCCTTTGGCCGCATGCATTTTGATCAGGTGAGACGTGTGGCCAGCAGGGGGCAGAGCCAGTCAAACCCCCAATCTAGGGATTTTTAAGACGGCCCTTTTATTGTAGACTCAGGGCTTGAAGCCCCTTAGAGGCAGCTCATGCTCCCATTTTACAGATAAGAAAGCTGAGGAAGAAAGAGAAGGTAACACGCCCAGAGCACAAATGAGAGCTAAACTGGGACCCAGGCAGGGCCTGGAGTCTGGGCGTCACATTCCCAGGAGGCTCTTCAGATGTCGACCTTGGATCTAGAGTTGAATGCTGTTATCTATGTCTCATGGGGGGTGATGGGGGGGCTGACCTGAGCGTATGAGGTAAAAAATATCGATCTCACAAACATATACAATTGAAATATTGACAATGGTTGTATTCTCATTTTGGTCATTCTTTTTAAAAATCCTGACACTTTGAGACAGCTATCTGACCTGCGCTCTCTCCGTCTCTGAGACCCTGGACCGGGCCCCTGATGCCCAGCTCTGCCAGGGCCCCCGTCAGCTTCCTTCGGCACGCAGTGAGGGGCCCAGCTTACTTCGAGGGTGCTATGGATTGTTCCCATTCTAGGACGGCCAAGGGGCGGCCCAAGGGGTAGGCAGAGGCCTGGTCCAGGAGTTCTGACCCTCAGCCCCCAGGGTCACATTGTTCCCAGGCCACACAGCCCTGGGCTACACAGGGCTTTGAAGGCCTCTTCCCACAGAGACCCCCGCCTCCCCCGGCCTCCCTCCCTCAGCCCCTGGGAACAGTCCCCAGGCTCACCTGGTGGGGGACGGGCAGCCTGGACAGGGGGCTGAGGCCCAGCAGTGGCGTGGTGGCCATGGCCGCCGCAGCGGCCATGGCCGAGGAGGCGGCCAGAGGGTCCACGGGCAGCTCCGGGCTCTGCTCCTGCTTCACCATGACGGAGCACAGTTTGTGTCCCAGCACCCATGCTCCATGTTCCACGTCTGGGGAAGGGGGCAGGACCAGGCTCAGGGGACTCCCCGAGCAGAGGGCTCTGCCGCCCTCCTCCCGCCGGGAGCTGCTCTAGCCTGGGCTGAGGAGAGATGGTAGTGTACAAGCAGGCAAGGGCAGAGAGGGGCGCCGGGTGAGGTAGGCTGGGGCCAGAAGAGGTGGGGCATCTTCTTTACTCTGCAGCTCACAGGAGCAGGCGTGGACAACAGATCTGGACCCCTCCTGACTGGCCGTGTGACCTTAGGTAGGTTGCTTAACCTCTCTGAGCCTTAGCTTCTTCATCTGTAAAAGTGCCTGACAAGAAGTAAATGCTCAATAAATGCTAGCTATTGTTAACACAATGACTGCTAGTCAGTGAACATTTGCCGAGCACCGTGCTAGGCGGTGGGGGACCTGGTGAGAGTCGCAAGCAGTTTTAGTGCTGCTGAAATGCAGAGGGAAGGGGAAGGTGGGCCCAGAGAGGCCAGCAGGGGTAGCGTGGCCTTGGAGACTGGGCTCACAGCTGCGACTTTGTCCTAAAGGTAATGAGGGAAGCGCTGAAGGGTTTTAAGCACGCTCAGATTTGTAATGTCGAAAAAAATCATGTTGTGTTTATGTGGAGACAGGCCTGACTGCAGGCAAGGTGGAGGCCGGGAGACTCGCAGGAGGCTGGTGACAGTCCAGTGAGAGAAGATGAAGCCTGAGCAAAGGAAGTGACAGTGGGGATGGAGAGGAAGGGACGTGCTGGAGACAAATTCAGAAGGGAGGATCCACAGGACCTGGTGACGGGGTGGGGTGTGTGTGTGTGTGAGGAGGTGGGGGTGGGGAGGGCATGTGCGTGGTGAGATGTGATGATCAGGTTTCCCAGGGTAGTGTCCACTTCCTGCCTTCTTACTGAGGCTCCTGGCCCCATCTGGGCCACAGGGCTGGCAGGCATCACCCCTTTTCCTGATGGGTGCCTACAGTCCTACACTCCAAGTCAGCCCTGCAAGCCCCAGGCAGTGGTGAGGTGAGGCGGGGGTCTGGGGAGCCAATATGCAAGGGAAGGGCCAGGGCGCTCTGGCCTTTGGGGCCCGCTGTGGGTAGAGAGAGGGGGTCAGTGGTGCCTGGTCCCACCTCAGAGACGAGGCCCCACCCTGCTGGGAGCCTGAGCACCCCAGCTCTGGGCCACAGGCTGCCCCAGGGCTCCAGGAACACCCACAATCTTCCCAAATTACAGGGCCAGCTGTCCAGCCTCCGGGAAGCTGCCCCTGCAAAGGGCCCAGAGACAAATTGCTCTAAAAATAGACTTGGGGTGGCCGAGGAGCTGCTGGGCTGGCCCAGCGGGGGTGGATGGAGAACCTACCATGGGAGGAGGTCCACCCCACATGCTGCCTGCCCCTCCCCTCCCTGTCCCCGCCTGAGGACACGCGGACGTGACTTCCAGAAGCTTGGCTGAGAGGCCAGGGCACGCAGGGAAGCTAAGACCTCAGCAGCCCCAGCCCTGAAGCCATTTAACCCCCAGACGGAGTCCCTGCCCTCACAGGGGTGAGCGGGGTGGGGTGCAGAGTCCCAGCTCTGCCCCGGGGAATCTCAAAGACCGTCAGAAGCAGCACACAGTTGTTGAGCTGAGTGAGGCTCTCAGCCCTTGCTACATACGACTTCTTTTATCCCTCTCAATAATCCTATGGGGCAGGCACTATTATTCTCCCCATTTAATAGATGAGAATATCAAGAAACTCATTCAAGACCACTGTCCTCTGAAGAGAAAGAGGAATTAAAAATGCTGTTCATTGTGCTAGCCACTCGAGTATTACCAGGACTTTTATACGTACAATGAAAATAGCCACTAATTCTTCTTACATATTATGTGCTGGGCACTGAACTGGGTACTTTATGTATAGATTTAAAAACCCTGGCCAGAATTCCTATGACACATATATTACCTTCATTTCATAATTGCGGAAACAGGGGCCAGGGGGATGAAGCAACTTGCTCGAGACCACATGGCAGCACGTGGAGGTGACGCCTCATGATGCACAGCGAAGCCCGTTTGGGTCCACACCCCGTACCCTGCCGGCCCTCGAGGGGGGCGAATGTGGTGGCAGCAAGGGTTTGCAGTTTAGCAGCAAGGGGCTCACTTGCTCCCAAGTCCTCACCAAGCATTTTACCGTGTGTGTGACCTGGACCCCTCGGCTTTCCTGAAGCCTCGTTTTTCCGAGGAGGGGAAGAAGCTTTTGAGGGACCAGAGCGGGGGGCACTGCAGGCTGAGATGCCCAGGGGCTCCCAGAGGAGTCACCCCAAACACCTCTTGGAGGAGTGCTACCTCCTGCCTTTTTGTTCTCTCTCATATCACACCTTCCTGGGCCTTCTGGGTCTGGGCTGGCCCAGGGTCCTTCTACCCTTTCTTACCTTGGGTGGTGTCCTCCATCTTGATGGGCACAAGGGGGCTCTGAGGCGCCGAGTCACCGCTCAGGGAGTAGCTGTGCTCAGCCTGGATGCCTGGTGTGGGGGAGTCCAGTTCCATGTCCAGTAGAGGGCTCTTCTCGTCCAGCACGGGGTCATCGAAGAAACTGCTGAACAGATCGTTGGAGAAGTCCTCCATGTTCTCCGCAAAGTGGTCCAGGTGCTCCGGGAAGTGCTAGGGGAGGAGGAGGGGCATGGGGGTGGTCAGCGGAGGCTGGGAAGGGGGCGCAGATGCTGCTGGGGTGGGGCCCCTAGGCCTGCCACCACCACCACCGTCACCACAGCCTCTCCATTATTCTTCCCTCCATCATTAAGGCCACCACCGTCCCCACTACCCATATCCCCAGGACCAGCTGTTGTCACTTCTATCACGGCTGGCACTGCTGCACCCCCGCCTCTCCCTCCACCCCCCGCTGCCATCTCCAGCCTCACTGTCATTATCCTCAAGGGTGAGCTGGGGAGGGCTCAAGAGCATCCCCGGAGCAGGCAACAGACTACCAGGCTCTCATTCTGGCCCTGTGACCTTGGTTCAATCGCTCAGACCGCCTGAGTCTGTTTCTCCGTCTGCCCTACTTCATGGGAAGACTAAGGAAAGAGTGTGTGTCTACGCCAGCAAGTTCACATCCCAAAGGCAATACTGGTGACTTTCATATCTTTTGCTCGAGTGCAAGGTGGTGGGATTATCAAGGCTGCTCCTCCCCTCATTAGCACAGTCCTCACCTGTCCTCATGCTTCCAGACTCTCCGCTTTCCAAGACTTTCTTTACGCCAAGAGATTAGGCTCTGAAGCCATGTTACTTGGGTTCGAATCCTGACCTTGATACTTCCAGCTATGACTCAGTGCTGATGAGACTGTGGGTGGTGACTCATTAATGGGTTGTGAAATCAATCTAGTAGGTCACAACCAGGATTTAAGAAAAAGTGAAACAGAAAAAAAATAAGAGTAGAAAACACCAGACTGCACTTCACATAGTGAAATTAAATACCTGGTGAGGTTTTCGTCCCAGTTGTGTGTGTGTGTGTGTGTGGACTCAGTAATGAAGTAAAATACATTTCTTAGAAACAAAAAAGTCTGAAAAATAATCGTCTCTGAGATCTTGGGAAAGTTAATTAACCTCTCCCTGCTTCATTTCCTCCTTTGTACAGTGAGGATGATAATAGTTTCTGTCAGGATTGTTATGAGGATGGCCCTGGGTACATAATACTCAACAAACATTGCGTCTCATTATTAATAAAGCACCCGGTGGCTGGTACATAGTAGGTGCTTATTTTTTTCTCTCTATAGAATTATAAACATGTGCCGATTGAATGCATTTGCTGGTGGGTTGGAAGAGATGGTGGGAGGGGGGGTTGCTTCAGGTCCTGGAGTCCAACCTGGTGAATGGTTAACGACCGGCTTCTGGGGGATTGATTGGTTCAGGGTCAGAGCTGGTGGCCCTTTCTCGCATGGAATACTCAAAGCCTGCCCCAGTCCTGAAGGGGTGAACAGAAAAGCCCTCTGAGAACAAGCTTCAGAATATTTCACTTCTCTGTGCCTCAGTTTCCCTATCTGCAAAGGGGAAATAATAGTTCCACTTCATAGGAACTGTCATGAAGATCATGAAGATTGTTGTCATGAAGATCAAATATTTGTTAGGTGCTTAATACTCACCTTATAGGATTATGAGGGTAAAATGAGTGAAGTACACATACCACTTACACATAGAACACACACACACATTAATGCACGTAGCAGAATGGTGCCTAGTATGTAGTGAGTACTCAATGGTTGTTAGCCATTATTAGTATGAAAACTGCAGCTACTCAAAGCCAAACTCCGGGCTTGAGCTGAGTTGAGCTGAAGAATGATCAAAGAATCAAGGACAAAATAAATGCAGAAACCCATTGACTCAGGTACTCTCTCCCCTTTCCCCAGTTTGCCAGAACTTATCATCTACCCTACATTTTTACTGTGATTTTATTTTATTTTATTTTTTAAATATTTTATTTATTTACTTGAGAGAGAGAATGAGAGAGAGAGAGAGAGCACATGAGCGGGGGGAGGGTCAGAGGGAGAAGCAGACTCCCTGCCGAGCAGGGAGCCCGATGTGGG